TAACTAGTCAACGACTAATAAACGGTGAATGTTCAACACTGCTTATGATTTCTGATTTTTTCTCATCGATTCTTGGAGGTTATAAACGTAAACGCCCGAATTATAATTTATATGACTCAGAATGGCAGCATTAAGACTTCTGAACATATTTGCTTAGGCATGACATTAAAAAGTCTTACAAGCAGTCGTAAAGTTATCGATATAATAAATCGCTATGGTCGTTGTATAAGTTACAATGCTATCAAGGAGCTAAAACAGAAGCAACCTATTCATCAGTTTCACGTACCGGAATATGTCCAGAGGCAATTAATACAAATGAAAATTTATCAACAGGTATGGCATTTGATAATTCCGACCCATTTGCTGATATCAAGAATCGAAAAGACACTCTCCATGACACGGTTGGAATAATATATCAAAACATGGGCCACAACCTCGAAAGATGTCTACGACATGAAGCATCGTTAATTGATTACACTATTTCTGGGCCTGAACAGGTGCGACCGTCGGATTTTGCGAAAGAATTAAAAAATACAAATTTTAAGGAGGCTCTTGTAGATTTTTTTACAAGACATTGGTGTAGTGAGGAAATGAAATCATTCACATCAAGTTGTTAAGAACAGTATACAATCAAGAGTTGTTGAAGATCTTTGTTGTATTTCACATGAAGAAGCAGATACTAAAATAATATATCATGCTTGTAATACCCCTGAGGAAGCAAGTATTGCTATTCGAGCATCTGATACCGACGTTTTAATTATAATGATTGGTAATATGGTTCAATTAAAGAATTATCATACTAATATTTAGATGCTCAATGGAACAGGAAATAACGAAAGATCATAAAAATTTAAAATGAGCTTGGTGAGTTGTTAGCAAAAAGTTTAATCGGTTTTCATGCGTTCACCGCATGTGATTTTAATCCAGCTTTCTTCAATAAAGGAAAGAGAAGGCCTTTTACGTTGCTTAAAAAAAGTGTGGAATATCAACAAGCATTTGTTACTCTCGGTGAAGAAAATTTGACACAGGACCAGTTACAAGAGGTCTTTACTATTATTCAATAGTTCACTTGACAGCTTTACAATGCCAAAAAATCAAAGGACGCAGATGACGGAAGATTTCAGTTATTCGTGAGTAGTTACAAAGCTTCGGATGAGAATGAAAATTTTAGTAAAAAAAATACAAAAGTTTGACGCAACCGCAATACCACCATGAAAGAGTGAACTCTACCAGCAACTTCTGACAGCCCATTACATTTCAACTATTTGGAAAAACGCTTACAAAAAGCAACCTTCAACCTTGGACCCATTGAAGTATGGTTGGATTGAGCAGGACAACACATTTGTCTTTAAATGTTTCGATGGAGATCAACTTCCATCTTTTGTTAGCGACTTAATTCCCAATGTCCCTGGTATGTTGATAAAAATTTATTCTTTATCAAATATGTTCGGATCAATTTACTAATTATTTATATTTTACAATTTATATATTTACAATTTACAGAGTCCGATTCAATGGATGATGAAGAAGAGTTAACCTACGACAAACATGACTCCGACACCTTTTAAATTTTGTCTTAAATAAATACAAAAAATTGAAATACAGATTTGAATTGTTTTTTGTTACTTGCATTATACCCCAAGATTTCAGATTGTCTCGTAATATATCTACTTCATTTATCATCAATCATAAAGTTTAATATATAAAGTACAAAAAAATATTAATTTCTATACATATAGTGATAAAATTAATTATAAATTTATGTAAAACAGCAATCTAACCGGGTAATAGTAAAGATTTTGTTATCTATTAAGGAGTGTCCTCAATAAAAGCGTCTGCCGTTATTAATATAAGTTTTTAAGACTATAACGAATAATATATCTCAATGGCAGATCTGATCAAATACTTTCAGAAATTAAATTTTTTGAGCATTTTCAAAACTGTCTGCCATAATGTTAACCGCATGCTAATGGTCTGCCATTATTATTTTTCGCTAAGAATAACAATATATTTTAAGATTTCAAAACGGCAGCCGTGGTCAAATATATTTAAAATTCGCCAAAAATTAATACCTGTCTCACCTGCGCAGTACCTAGATCCACCGCTTTGGGCTTAGTGGGTCCCCACATCATGCATAGTAGGTATAGGGGCCTCAATGTACAAAAACCCAGATCTGGTCAAATACATGCAGGTAACCGCCCACTGGCTCTTAGACTATTAGTGGTGTGATAAATACTCCAATGCGCATTTCGTATATTGTAAGAATTGAAAACAATTCATTTCATCATCATCATCCAAAAGTTCTTTAAATAAAAAGTCACCTTCGCTTTTTCTTTTTTTTACCATAACATAACACCCAATTCACTATTTGAACAAGTTTTAAACATCTTAAAATCTCTTTACAGCTTCGAGACCACTTGTGGGGTGTAAATACTGACCAAAAATCTTCATAGTGACCTGGTCCTAGGCCTACGTGACTTGAGTGCTTAGTGGAAATTGTCCTACAGTCTACAGGACGCAGTAGTTGAATACTTTTGTTTTTAATTGTAAAGTAATTGTAAAGGAATTCTTCAAGACAAAAAAGAGTTTCTTAAATGCGGCCCAGCTCATTCTTATACGCCTATCTATTTCATCTGTTTGGTTTTCCTTGCTTGCTCGGAAGGCTTGACTTAGGTATGCTGAATGTATTCAATAGCTGTTCCGTTGAAATCTATAACTCGCATATCATTTGTTTTAGTCATTATTTTAGTTTTAGTGAGATTCATTTTAAGACGCTTTGATGTTGCTGCCTCATGTAGATCTGATAGCATTTTTGTAGTTCTTCCTTCATGTTTTGAAGCTAACAGAGCATTGAAAAATGTTGCCCTAGTTGCTGCGTTGACGTTTAAACAACTTTATGTGTACAGTTTGCATCGGTTTGAGAAAAAATGGCTCCAAAGAAATTTAGGTATTTGTGCATTAAACTGCTTGGTGGGGGGAAGAAAATAATACAAGTTGCCAGAGACTTGAAATTATCAAAATCTAAGGTTAGTGACATGGTCAAGTCATATGGGAAAAATGGTAGTACCGACATTCAGAGAAAAGGTTAAGGGCATCTGAAGGGAATGAAGCTGGAAAATCCTCATATTACACAGAAACATACAAAAAATGGATTCATAAGAGTGGTTTTGGATTTTATAAGCATTTTTAACTTTATTTGGAAAGATATTCACTGAATGTAAATGTCTTAGGGGAAAGAAACGCCTTTGTTAACCGAGCGACAAAAAAAAACACCTATCTTGATGTAGACCAGTGGTCGCCAACCTCTTCAATGTGTTGAGCTGCTTTGTTAATTTTGGAATAAACAGTGAGCTACCCACAAGGAATAGTATGACAATTAGATTGTTTTGTGGAATTTTGAAGCTTCTCTTAAAATTAAAATCCTTGTGAGAGCTACCAGAATTGTCTCCGCGAGTGGCTCGCGATCGACAGGTTGGCGACCGCTGGTGTAGACAAAGAGGGGAATGGTCACAGGAACAATGTAATTCGGTTATTTCTGGTCAAAATTTCATGTGTGGGTGGGAGTAATAAGAACAAAAAACGAGGTTTGTATAAGCACGGCTTCAATATGCACTACAAAGTTGGCTTTTGGGGAAATTATTTGGGTCTGGATGTCTTCGAAGGGAGTAGCAAATATGTAATTCATAAATGGTACAGTTAACTCTGAGAAGTATAAAGAAATACTGGAAAACATTTTAATCCCTACCATTCAAAAATTGTGCCTAGCGGAGATTTATTTTTAAATTGGTTTGGGCCTCCCAGCAGCCCGGCCTTAATGTAATCCAAACTTTGTCATATAAAATAAAACAGAAATTGACAAGCGATCCACAAAGAACCCACGAAGGTTTAATGTGTAAAATTAAGGAAGTGTGGGATTCAGTAAAACCAGAATGCCAGGGTACCCTGAAGTCTATGCCTAAAAGAACTTTGGCTCTAATTCAAGTAAAACGTGATGTTACATCGTATTAAATTGTTGTACATAATATAAAAAGTTTTACGCCTTTAGTTTAATAAATACTTAATTTATTATATATTTTTAATTAATTAATTTATTTTTTTGCACTCCCTGCTAATAAAATATTCAGGAGTTGTTTTTCTAATAATCTAAAGGGATAATATCAAAATTTTTAATATTTTGCGATTATAGCTTCAGTAAAGATATTTTAAAAGTAAATTTTAAAATGGCCAAATATATAGTTACGGGATCACAGAAGTATCGGACGAAGAGGAGTCGTAACACCTTGTTTTCATTTAATTTTAGTTTCTTCTCAACTATTTCTATTTATTTCAGCATCCGCTTTAATTATAACAATCTAATAAAATTTTGAAAGTATGACCTTCTTAATTGTTACCATTGATTGATTGATTATTGACTTTCAAAACGCATTTCATGTTTATGTCAAGCTCTAAAATGGAGCCAAATAATCACACCAAAGAAGTAATTATGTAATTATTTATAATTTATGGTCAATATAATAAGAACACCCTACGGTGGCACATTATGAGTGACAAAAAGTTCAGAATAACTAAAACAATTTAATAAATCTGCGATCAATAAAGAGAAAACGAACTTAATAGTCCAGCTTATCTTGAAACTTATTTCAAAACGTCCAAGGGTTTAATGAATAAAATTTTCAAAAACGAATAAAATTTTGTGAACCGCATTTAATTAAACGTACGATTTGGCAATTAGGCACCATGGTGGCAAACCTTATTGCCTGACTCTTTAGCATTTTCTTTCAGACAAATTTTGCGGAATACCGGACTGCAACCGTTATGACTCATTCATTGAAATATATGGTGTTATTTCAATAAAACCCTGATGATAGATATCTATTACAGTCTGCTATCGCCTGGACAGGTAGAGTTGAATCAGAAAAGGACAACTTTTATAGGCGTGTGCATATACAAGGTGTTTCAACATTTTTTCGTATAATAAAGTAACGCTTTGTCGCACTCACTTGCAGTAAGGTCTGGGACACACATTGTTCTGGTAATCGTGGCAAAAATTCAAAGTGTGGATCTCGTTCTCATGCTTGAACTTGCAAAATTTCCGATCGCATATGCCGCGAGCAAAATCGCGACAAATACTGTCCTCCTTGTCGTTTTGTCTATCCGACGAGATCGTGTCCTCTGAGGTGTCAGACATGCTGCCGACTGTTGTTCCTATAAAAAACAAAAAAAAATACTCTGAGTGGTCTAAAGGAGGGCAGATGTGAAATATTTGAGGAACAGAGAAAGCAACTAGATGGCGAACTTAAATGAATTGAATAGAGCTGGAATACAAAGACATGCATGCAAAAGACCAAACTGGATTTCGGCCAGGAACGTCAACAGAAAAGAAAAAGGTTCCAAAGCAGGCAATCTACCTATAAAAGAGAGAGGGAGAGAGAGGGAGAGAGAAGTAGAGAGAGGGATGAGAGAGGGTTCAGAGAGGGAGAGGGAGAGAGGGGGAGAGGGAGGGAGTGAGGGAGAGAGAGGGATAGACAGGGGGAAGAGGGAGAGAGAGGGGGGAGAGAGAGAGGAGGTGGGAGAGGGGGGGTGAGAGGGTGAGAGGGAGGGGGAGAGAGAGAGAGAGATTAAGGAATTGAAGCTCGAGGAGCGACCGCAAAAGATTAAAAAAGGAAACTAGCAGATGTTGAGAAATATTAAGAACTTTTTGAAGATTTTGGACTAAAAATAATTATCAACTTACGAATAATCAGATGTCAAGGAAACTAACAAAGAAAAAACCGAAGTCTAAAAAGGACGACGCCGACGTCTAGACTCCGTCCCAGTGTCCGTACGTTTAGCATAAAACACAAGCCGTGTAACCCACAGCAAGGGGGCGCTCTGTGGGGTTAATAAACTGGAACGGCAACATTGGCCTTACCCGTAATGAAACAAATAACGGGAAAGAAGTGGGAGCGAGTAGGGAACAGCTTTACAAGGGTTATTTCCTGCTTTGATTACTATATAAAGTTAGCGGGCTCCAAGACTCCTTCTCAGTCCGTTATTGTGCGTGCAGCGATGTCCCTGGAAAAAATTTTGCTCTGCGCGCTGTTCGTGTCATACGTCTACTGCGTCAATGAATTGTCAGAAGAGACTTGCGAAACTCTGCCGTCGGAAATTCACATAACCAAAGGTGAGTCCGAGAATTGGTCGGAAAGGGTAGCGTTAAACGGTTTATTACAGAGGAGTTTGACGAACTGGGCCGACTGCAGAGGACTTGTAATGGGGAGATCGCGGTAAACAAGTGCGAGGGATCCTGCAAAAGTCAAGTGCAGCCCTCTGTCATAACACCGACGGGCTTTCTAAAGGTAACATTTATAAACAAACAATTAATATCATAAAATAAACAAAAATTTAAACGGGCACTGTCAAATTTTTCAAATAAAAACTTTTTAACTTAACTTTTAACTAAAATACAACAAATTACTGCTAAATTTTCACTGCCTATTAAAACTGGCACAAAATGACATCGTTTAGGAAAAAAAGCTGGAGTTAAACATTTTTAAATTAAAATTTAACAGCACCATATTGTTTTTTACTTTAGGAATGTTATTGTTGTCGAGAAAGCTTCCTGAGAGAAAGGATCGTAACACTGACGCACTGCTATGATCCAGACGGTGTTCGTTTGACCAACGAAGGGATCAACTCTATGGACGTCAAGCTGCGTGAACCGTCGGAATGCAAGTGTTACAAATGCGGCGACTTCAGTCGATAGGAGCAATTTAATTAATTCGGGTGTTTTCTTTTGGATGTTGAACACAATTCCCTTACTCTTACAATTAGTTTTGTATGTATAATTCTGACCACCACATACTATCAACTGTGAACTGTTATTTGTACAAATTTTAATAAAGAGTTAAAAAACTAAACCGCCGCCTTATAGTGTTCTTTAACAAGGTAAAAACACACTGTGTACACCGCAAGTCTGTGGGAAAATTGAGAAAGAAAAAAAATAAATTTAAAAAAATTTTGCATTCTCCGAAAGTTAAGATGTTTGAGACATATGTTCATGCAAACTTATTATTATTAGTATTAACACTCAATGAATAACACCCTTTATAAATTTATTTATATAGATATTCCACGAAAACAACAAAAGTCGGTTCAATTTCAACAAAATAAATCAGTTTTCGCTGATTTGCGATTTATGTAAAAAGACTTGAAGCAAATTTACATATCTAATTGACTTACCAACTCTTATTCCAAGGGCAGGTTATACTGTCTGTGCAATTCAACAATGCTGCAATGCTTAACGTCAGCCAAATATCCTAAAACAATCTGAGTGGCGTCTTTAATATCGTTGTACTCGTGTAATGCTTCCATGTGAGGCTTCAAGTCAGCATTGAGCCCCTTGTCTGTCAATATTTTGATTTCTTCATCCAGTTGGGCACTTTGCTTCTTCAAATTCTCGTTAATTAATTTCAATTCTAAAATGGACAGATTCGAGTAAGAATCTGAACGATTTATTTTTTTCGATAGTGGAGTCCTATTCTTTGGAGTACCTCCGCACGGACTTTTCCCTTTCTTGTCCATGAATCATTTTCTAAAATAATTTAATTTTTAAAATTAATAAAGGCAATTGTAATGAAAAATATTTAAAAATTTGTAAACACTTCATTTTAGCGGCTTTCAAAATTATATCATAATATAAATAGGGGTTACCCGCTATTAAAATATTAAAAAAGAAAAACAACATGAGTATCTTGACAACATGCAGAGTACAACATCGTAAACCATTGTTCAAAGCACCATGGAAAGCTTTTATCATCAGCATGGGGTCCCTGGATCAATACGGAGTGAACATGGATTTCTCATCAAATTCTTTTCTAACAAAAAAATAGGTGGGCTCCACGGTGAAGTCGGGAGCTTACATCAAAACTACATCAAAGAATTTTATAAAAAGGATGGTTTAACTTGAAAAAATCGCGAGTCTTGAAGTAGTTCTAGCAGAAATATGATTGCGGCCCTGAGTTGCATCTCTTTAGGTAAAGATTTACAGTATATTTAAAAACTTTCAAGCAATAATCATTCTGATGGGTTTTAGTTTCTTCAAAACTATGGCAGTATCTCATTGTTTTTGTAATACTGGCGAGTATGTGTACAGAACCGAGACTTAATATAAGAAAGCTGGAAACGGATGCTGCAAGTACCACAGATGAGTGTCAGGTAACCCCAGTGATTCATGTTTTGCAATATCCCGGATGTGTTCCGAAACCAATCCCCAGCTTCGCTTGCACAGGAAGATGCGCTTCATATATTCAGGTAATTTTTAATGAATATGTTACAATTCTCGCTAATTTTTGATGTTTAGTTTAGACTTGTCGCTTTGACAAGAATTTACAATACCTACTGCTATTATCAAAATTTCAAAATTATTATAAATATTTAACTTAGGTATCTGGCAGCAAAATATGGCAAATGGAAAGATCTTGTATGTGCTGCCAGGAATCTGGAGAACGAGAGGCGTCAGTTTCACTATTCTGCCCCAAAGCTAAGCCAGGAGAAAGAAAATTCATTAAGGTAATGTCTAATCGCAATCTTAATACACGAACATTCACTCACTTACCCAGAAAATAACCGGGTAAATAATTATTCAAAAAATGAAAGAAGCCAACCAGCGAACACCATTAAAAAACAAATCATTATGTCAAAATCTGTTGATCTAAAGTTAAGCATTTTAATAATTTTTTCACAGAACACCGACGATAACTTTTTCTATGGTTAGAGATAAAACAGTTTTTTAAAAACATTCGAAATTATTCCTGTCTTTTGAATTCATACACAAAACATTCTTTTTTTCAATACTTTTTGAAACCTGTTGTTATCACCATTTCTACTCTACCGCTTGGATCAATATTGTGCTTTTTGATGAAAGAGAATTGTCGGCATTGTTCGTGGCACAGAATCAATGCTATGCGCTTGATAATTTTTCAGGTTATTAAAGTCTTCTTTTACTGTGGAATGACGAATCTAAGTTAATTCAAGTCATATTGTCATATTGTAGGTTAGGTTTCAAGTATTTATTTTTTTAAGGTCACAACAAAAGCACCACTGGAATGTATGTGTAGACCTTGCACCGGAATTGAAGAGAGTGCAATTATCCCACAAGAAATTGCTGGTTATACAGACGACGGCTTATTGTCGGGGCATTTTTTAAAATCCCATCAGCAGTAATTATACTTAAACCTCAAGATAAATTATAATTTTTTTTTTCAGCGTTTGTGATAAATAATAATACTTCAGACTTGCTTTTATTTATTTTTTATATAAACTTATACTGAGTAAAATAGTTCCCAACTTAAAACTAATTACATTTTGAGAAAACTTTATTACACTTCATCAATTCCTAGATGCTTCAAATTTGGAATCAAATCCTGCACTCCTTGGGGAACCTCCTTTTCCTTCACATATTTTGTAAAGTCAAAGTCGTTCAAATTATAAACATAGTCTTGTACATTGTTAATTGTTCTATAGACGTCACCCAAAAGAATTCTTTGAAAATGTTCTTTTAACACAATCAGATATGTTACTAGTTGAGCAGCATAAAGTTTCCTCTTCTCAGGCAAAGGCTTCTCTGCCCACTTCTTTGTGGAAATAATAGACGCTTCTTCTAGCAAATAGCTGGGAAAGTTGAGATATTCTACAAGACACTCGGAAAGATCCCTTTCAATCAATAGACTTTTTTGTTGCATTGTTTTTTGGAACATTAAATCAACTATTTGGGTATCAAATACATTCTGAACAAAAACGTCATAATGTCCAAATAATACATCTACTACAGCAGCACTTTTATGAATCACTTTACAAACATATTCAGACTCTAGGATTTCTTTCAATTCTGGATAAAACTTCCTTTTTTCCAGATTGGTAAGATCAAATATGAAGACTTGCTTCCACGTGCACATAACAAGTAACCTTATTAACGATCCCATTCTTTGGTTTTCCATTCCCAAAGCAACTAATCCAACAGTTTCCGATTCTTTCAACAGTTGAACAGCATCGTAATATCTCTTATCCACATTTTCCAGGTATACATAGCTCTGGGACATCTCTTTCAACCTGCAGTATTCTTCTTGACACATTTTGATCATTTTGCAAGTGGATGTCACATTGGTCACATTGTTATCAATCTTGTTTGCTCCAGGAGGTTGTCTCGAGTTTGGCAATTTCAGTGAGTGGATACGCGAAATTTCTGACCGATAAAAATCATACAAATCGCCTAGTCGATTTTTATTATTGTGTTGGGAAACTTCCGCTAAACACACACGATCTCTTCCACCGCCAGCGTAGATACCTTCGTAAATATCCTTACTTTTTAACTCTATAACCAACTTATCCCCGACCTTAAACATGCTTCGATAATCGGCCATTTCTTATGAATTCTGTAATATTCTTCACAACCGCAGAAAGTCCTTTAAAAATATTAAAAATAAACATACAAACAATAAACAATGAATGACTTTATCACAGAACTATATGACAAAAAATGGAATCAATACTGACAGTATCTGCCGTGCACTTGACGAATCTGTCGAGCGCCATCTAGCGCTGTTTACAATTATTAAAATTGAAGAATTCATGCAATTTTTAATTTAATTGCTGCTGTAGCCGCTAGGTGCTGCTATGGGACAAATGTTGGAAGAGCTGGATAGTGCATTTAAAAAGGCTATAAAACTTAAAAAGTCCCAACTTTAAAATCATATGGTTCGAATTTTACGGTACGGTACCAAAACTATCAATTTCACAATCTGGCAATTTGTAGATAAAAGCAGAGTAGTATAAAATCAAATGGTAATGGTTAAAATTTTTGCTTATAGCTTATAATCACATCGATCATTTTCAGGTTACATGTTCCTGCGAAGGCGCAGCCAAAAAAGGCTTAGGTACTTTGCACGTTGACGATCGACGTTTTCAAATGCGGATACATAAAATTAGAATAAATTGACAGATTCGTATCTGCGAGCGGGCGGAGATCACTCGAAAAAAAAAACGATAGGTTTTAGCGAATTCGCGGACATAAAAAAGACAACGGGATAAGCTAATTTCGTCTGAAAATTGGCTAGCCTCGATTCGTGCAACCGTATGCGGCGTTTTCAGCTTCCTTTTTCCATTTTCGAAAAAGCAATTACATCGGTTTTATGGAGCCCCAATATTCCTCTCATTATAGGTGCGTCGCACAATAACATCAAAAGTGGAGGCGGGTGAATTTCGCGGTTCTAAAAAACAATGAACTCGCACACCATAGGTGTGGGCATTGACGAATTATTTAACATTGCGTGTAAAAATAATTGCCGTAGGTACATATAATATGTGCGCGACGCTGATTTTCGTACTTACCTGTAATACACAATTTTATCACATTCCGAATATTTTTTAATAATAATGTAATGACAACAAAGCCCACAAAAATCACTTAATAATCGCATTTTCAATAAACGGGGGATTGTACAGCAAATTTTCTTGGCACAGAACAAACTATCACAAACCACTTCCCGTGTTTGTCCTATTTATTACTTTAAGATGCTGGCAGAATAATTAGTTCAAGGAATATGTGGTGTGTCCAAATAATTTTATCAAAGTGATGTTTCTAATTTATTATAAGTTTCAGGAAAAATAGTTATTTAAATAAATTATTGTTGTTGTTGGTATCTATACCGAGTGTTTTCGAATTTATGGTCATTTTTTCATCAAAAATGCCCTGTGTTTTATTTGTTAAGAACTATTTTAATTTAAGTGAGGCAGAGAATGTGGTTCCTTCATGGTGGAGCTCCTGCACCCGAGGTCTATCAAGTTCCGAACTAGTTAAATAATTTACTTCCTCCTGGATAGAAAGAGGTGGTCCGATTAGATTGCCACCTAGATCTTCTGATCTAACAAAGATGGCCTATTTTCTGTGGGGATGTGTTAAAGACCAGGTATATAAAACTGACTCTACAAACAAAAGAGGGCATGAAACACAGATAAGAGAGAAGCCTTTCAAAGTGTAAGTCATGAAATCCTATCGTATACACTCCATTCGTTTAAAGACCATGTTAAAGTGTGTATCGCAATCGCTGGGTTTATATTTCTATTTTTATTTAAATTTAGGATTTGATAAATTATTACCGCATTACATTTGATATCAACATGTAACTAATGGTATTATTTGAAAGAAACTTACTTAATTCGGCCCTATACACTTTCACGTTCACGTTCTCAATCTTCTGTGATATTTTCGCACGGTTTAAACATTTTCATTATTTTGTTCGTAAAAATTTGTAAACCTGAAAAAATACTAAGCTTAGGTATAGGGTATGCTTATTAAAATTGAAAGAACATTAATGGCAGTAACTAATTAAAGTGTAATATATCCTTTCACGAAAATTCATATTTTTCATTTTAACTCACCCTGTATAAACGATTCGAAACAACTTCAAGACTAGTATAGGATAAATGACTATTACGGCTAACATAAACGGCGTCAAAACTATATGGTATTGAAAATTAAATTTGCCCATAAATACGAAAAAACACAGTATAGACCATAACAACCCTACATTGAGTGATTAAGCACCAACGGGATTATCTATTAATGTCAGCATTTACAAGGTGTTCAATTTAAAAATAATAGATTAATTTATGTTTTCCTTCTTTTTTTTCAAAGAAATTTCCAAAGGCTACTGTAAACCTTTTTATAAGACTTCTGGATTCCTCCTGCGTCGGTTTTTGCTAAGTCGAACTTGCTGACGTTTCGCCAATCATCCTGTTGGCTTCTTCAGAGCTTGACTGAAACTGGCTCACATTTTATTTTGTACCTGCTTTTATATTGTTTGCGGGGGGCGGACCTCAATGAGGGGCATAAACACCGTCTCGGATGACCGATTCCCATATTGGTGACAGGTAGAGACCTGAGTCGCGATTAAGATTATTAGGTTGTTTATAGATTTCTATAGACTCTCGGATTTTTCGTTGGTAGAATAACTGATTATATGCAAGAATTTTAGTTTCATCGAATAAAATTTGATGTCCGGTGTCATGAGTGTGTTGGGCAACCGCTGATGAGTTTATTTGGCTTAGTCGTAAGGCTCTTTGGTGTTCTTTGAGTCTAGTTGATATTTTTCGTCCGGTCTCTCCATTGTATTCTTTGCCGCATATGCATGGAATGCTGTAAACTCCTGGCATCTCAAATGGAATTTTGTCTTTGACGGACCGAAGATGTTGAGAGATTTTGGGACAAGCGGCAAATCTGGTTTTGACGTTATACTTCTTTAGAACTTTTGATATGTGGTCAGTGATGTTTTTAATGTAAGGAAGGACCACACTCATTGCTATTGGAAGGTTGTGATGAAGTATATTTTTCGATGGAACGCTTAATATCTTTAATGTGGAAATTATTAGAGAGAAGAGCAGAGGTAAGGTGTTTTAATTCTAGGTTCAGTGACTAGAGCTGAGATAGTTTTACGGCTCTGTAAACAAGAGAGTTGATAACCGATGATTTTTGGATCGGATTGTGATGTGACCATGCATATCGGTCTGTGTGCGTAGGTTTTCTGTAAACACAATGACCAATGTTAAGGTCTGATTTTCTATTTATAAGAATATCTACGAATGGTAGGTTATTATTAGTTTCCAACTCAATGGTAAAACGTATGTTAGGGTGTATAGAGTTTAAATGTCTAGGAAAATATGCTAGGGTTTCTTAACCATGAGGCCAAATAACAAAAGCATCATCGAATCCATAATTTTGGTTTTAGATGAAAGGTATCGAAAGCTTTCCTCTCAAAGGCTTTCATAAATATATTCGCGTTGACTGGTGATAGTGGAGAACCCATAGCTGTTCCCGACGTTTGTTCAAAAATTTCACCGTTATAAGAAATATATGTTGCCAACAAGTATTTTTCAATTAAGGTGAGAAGGTTTGGTTCCAGATTTTCGGACTTTAATATATCTAAAATGATGTCGAGAGTTTCAGGAATAGGTACTTTGGTAAAGAGGGATTCTACGTCGAAACTAACTAGAACATCTTGTGTAACTAATGTAAGGGGTTTTAAGAAGGAGGTAGATATTTTGCTAGAGAATATGTTTGAAGAACCAATGGAGCTGACAATAGATAGAAGGGGTAATCCTGGTTTGTGAATATTTGGTAATCCGTAGAGACGAGGAATTTTAGAGTCATGAGCGGTAACAGATTTTTTCACGGAGTCTGATAGAGAAGAAGCCTTAATAACAGATTTAAAGTTGCGATCCATAGGTAACGTAGGATCTTTTTTAAGTTGACGATATGATCTGTCTCTAAGAATACCTTGAAACTTTTCTGGATATTCATTTGTGTCCATAACTCCTGTAGCATTTCCTTTATCTGCTTTTGATTTTAGAGATTTTAGGGCGACGCGTTCAGGCTTTGCAACATTGGATTTAGGAGGTTTTGATTTTTTAAGGATTTTTGCGGTTTCAAATCGAATTTCATTAGCTGTTTGAGATGGCAGTTTGTTTAGGATAGACTCGACATTTGAAATGATTTGCTCTTTTGGGATAATACGTGGGGCAAGAACGAAGTTGGAACCTTTTGAAAGAACTAATTTTTCCCTTTCCGAAAGTTGATGCGATGATGCATTTATTACAGTGTTTGGTAGTTGAGAAGAGTTTGATGGTTTTCCTAGTGTTGACGCTAGATTTTCAAAATTCTGAATGTGATATTGGGTAGTAGATAAATGAAGAATGAAGCTTTGTCATGAATCATATTTGAAAGGGTATCGAACTTGGGTGGGGACAAAATTGAAGAAATTTCCAGGTATAGAGACAGAAAAGCCTTATTGATTTGGTCTATTTCTTTACGGGTATGATGAATCCTTTCTCAAAGTAAAGCCGAACTAGATTTTCGAAGAATTTATAATTTTATAAGCGGATGAGGTTGCGACGTGATGGGATATTAGAAGAAAATTGGGGATTACGTTATGGTCTCTACAACGTAACAGTAATCTTACCAGTTTCAGTCGATGATCTTCTAACTTTCTGCATTTGCGCTTGATATCCTCTCCACAAAGGCTTGTTAATTTTTCAAAGAAACTTCAACAGGCTACTGTAATACTAAAAAAAAAGTAGATTCATTTATGAATCACCCTGTATTTTTGAAAATAATTTTGAATCGTTTCTTTTAGTCTCATCCGTAACTTTTTTTGAACATATTTCTCTGAAACAAATAAACGAAATATATTACCTTGACACAGTATTTGGACACCCTGTAAGTGTAAACATTATTCTTTATATATATATATATATATATATATATATATATATATATATATATATATATATATATATATATATATATATATATATATATATATATCGCATTGAAGATGCCAAGTGAGATTTTGGCGAAACGTCTGCAGGATTCCAGTCGGATGCAGGATTACAGTCGGAGTTCAACGAGCGAACGGATGATATCCCGGAGTATAGTGTCATCACATTTTTCCATCCGTGAATGAATACGTGAGAATATA